AATGTCCCCCTACATGCATAATGCAGATGAAATGTAATTTTCTCCCTTAATGTAATCTGTATTTGGTCAGATCTGTTTTTGGGTCTTCAACAATTCTGCAAAGCGTTTAACCTCCCTATTAAATTATGGTCAATATTTAGGGTTTGTTTTTTTTAATACAAATACATCAGTGAATGAGTTTCCTCGCACTGACCTGGCCTATGTTAAAGTTATTTACATAACCACTATATATATTTCACAAATGACAGGACAAGGTCTCCTTAGAATCCTACATTGACCTGCCTGTCATTCTGATGGGGTAAACAGTATCACCTTTCCAGTTCACGATGAATTACAGAGAGGCAGCAAAGCACACCATCCATCACACTGGCATTAAATAGGTTTTTGAAGTAGATTTCAGATATCACAAATGCTGTTTAGTCTGTTACCAGAAAGCACAAATTGGATAGCTCATATAAAATGGTCATATGATGAATGGACATGATGGGTCTTCAAAGCAAAGGAACATGGTTATTCTGCGCATAACCTTGTCAAAACAAAAAACAGAACTGCAGCTCTTCCTGTACCCAAGCTACAATGACCTAAGAACTGTTTAATGGCTTAGCTTGCTACCAATTCATATGAAAAAGATGTACAGATAAAACAGAAAAAAAAGGAGCAAGGATGAATCATTAGTATCAGAACTACAACTACTTTATGAATCATAAATTCTATGCAAAATTATCCACTGTTAAGTATCTGCATCCCATTTGGAAAGTAAATTATTCAATAGTAAAGGAAGGGTGTTTTTTGTTTTGTTTTACAACAGGGGCATGAAACTAACCTAGGGCCCTGGGTTGGATCTAGACCGTAGAGCTCCTTGTGAGCTGGATCCAGCCCAGAACAGGAGGGCTACACTGTGGAAGCAGCAGCCGGGCAGGGGCTGGCACCAGTGAGTGCAGGGGCAATGCAGGGTCCAGCAGCAGTGGGAGCACAGGGTCCAGCAGGGAGGAAGGTCATGCAGGGTCTAGCAGTGGCCAGAGTGCAGGGTATAGTGGTAGCAAGGACAAGAACAGGGCACTGCAAGGGTGCAGGCTCCAACAGGGAAAGCCAAGCTCACTGCTCATGGCTATGCTTAACTGTGCAACTTCCAGTACCCTCTGGTAGTCCGGGTGGGCCAGAAAGATAGTTGTGTTTGACACCCTTGTTTTGTAACATATATTTTTACATGTGATCATGCCTCCCCCTAATGTCTTACCCTGATAATTTTAACAACTTTCTACTTACTGATTATGTACTTGAAAACAGACAGCAGAGGCTTACTCTTTAGATGCCAATTACATTACTGCCAATAACTATATAGTTGAAACACATATACCACATGGTTTATGTCTTATTACCAAATGCCATCATGGGTGATATTTATACTTTGTGGTAGGGAGTACCTGGAGGTCAAACTGCAGATCCACTGCAGTTTTCTGGATGCTTGATGTATCTCTAGTTGTAAACCCTAACATAGTTAAAATATTTATCCTTTTAGGTGATACAAACTTGTCTTTTATTTTTGATTCTACAAAGTCCAGAAGTCTACCCTCAGCGATACCTGTGCAGTAGCAGCCTGTGTGTATGTGTAAGGGTAAATGCTTGGTTCACTATGCAGTGGTCATAGTATAATGGAGAATAATTTTGAAATAAGACCTGTTTTATAGCTTACTGGTAAAAATAAACTTTGTTTTACCAAGGCCTCAGGCAGATGTTACATTTAAGATGCGATTAACCAGTTAACATGACTTAAAGTGTAACCCGGTCACATTTTCAGGCAAGTAATGGTGTGACAAAAAACCAAAACCAGCCACAAAATGATTACACAAAAAATGTAAAAACTGTGTCCTCCCCGCCTTGCCTCAGAGTGCTAGCAGGGGTCTGGCAACACTCCTACCCCTTGAGCAGCGAGCGGAGAAAAGCCTGGAATGGTGCAGGCAGACCTGCCTAATCAGAGGTCCTGCTGGGGCCTGGCCACGCCCCCCTCAGGTCAGCACTGTGTAAGGGAAGAGTGGGCTGCTCTAGCCACCCCCAGCTTCTAGCCTGAGCCACCTGCAGGCATGTGCCTGAATTTCCTTAATCCAGAGGGAATGTCTCTCCAGTTACAAACTGGTTCACCCTAGCCAGGCTAGAGTAACCTGCAAAGGTTGAATCAATTCAGCCTCAGGCTGTTTGAATGTATGTCCCTAGCCTAAAAGGACTGTGTGGCAGGGTAGACAGCACTGTGACTCAAACAGGTGCTGGTGCAGTCCTCATGCTGCTGCTGAACACATGATGAATGGTCAGCAGGGACAACACTGTGCCTGGTTCAAGCCCGGGGGCAGTTCCAATCTAGCTGATCTTTGACCAGCTCCAGGAACTCAAAGATACCCAGTGCATCTCCACAGCCAGCTGACAATCAGTTGATTGTTGGGCACCTTTGCTGGTGCAGAAGGCGGCCAGGATCATGATTCCAGGCTCCCCCTGTACTGGCAAATGGACCACAACTGGGATCTGATCCATGACCCCACATGCAGCATGGCAAGAAGAGCAATTGCTGGCATCATGAATCCAATCCCATCATGTCTTTAACTGAACATGTGTCAGTGGCCCAAGAGTACAAACATCTCCAGAGACACTGGATTTCTCATAGCCTCAAATTTATCAGGCCCTTTATTTATCAAGTACACCCGTGCACTTACGGGATTCATCTCAGAGACCAGAACTTTATTGTTATCTCATATGGTTTGTGTTCGGGGCCTATTATAATAAGGTGGTGCTGCATATTATTCAAATCTATCAGCTGATAAGATGCCCACAGTGCCTTACATCATATTAATAAATGCAAACACTTTGCTCAGAAATTATGTTAATTTACCTATTGACTGCAAGACTGGAATACTGAGAACAGGGTTGCTCTAAGGCTATGTAAATTTTGAAAGTTCACTACCAAGTATTACAAAGATATCATGAGCAAACTGAACAGAAATTAGGTTGCATTAATGGTTATCCAAGCCACTAACGTGCTGTCATCATAGAGATGAGTAATTAATGGAAGACAGAGAATACCTTTATTTGGCAGGAGTGCGTGTGGAGAAGGGGGGAAGGGAAGCTCTTCAAAGTTTAATTTCCTTTATACATCTCTGATAACTTAATGTTTTAATCATGAAATGTTGTAGTTTGATAAAAAATTAAGTAAAAGACCAGGGTGATATATTGTGTGGTGGAGAGGATGAAAGATGGCACTAATAAAAACCCACCCTTGTTTTTTCATACATATTTATTCAGCCTCACAACACCCCTGTGGGCAGGTAAATGAGGAACATCATTGCAGAAACTAAGGCAGAACCAGGATTATAATTCAGAAGTCCCTAGGAACTAGGTCTGTGTTCAGACCATTCTTCACTGAAAAGCACTTTCTCTTACTCTTGCTGTATAGTGCCCTCAAGCCCTCAGAAAACTGAATCACAAAAAGTAGGGCTGGATCCCTGGAGATCATTCAGCCTGACCTTCTGCTCAAGGCAGGAACAGCCCTATCTAAACCAACCCAGGCTTGTCTAACCTTCAATGAGAGAGGTTTCACAAACTCTAAATAATCTGTTCTAGCACCTGCATAGCTACGAAGTTCTTCTTAATATCTAACCTAGCTCTCTATTGGTACAATTTAAGGCTATTATTCCTAGCCCTGCTCCTGTGAGGACAGAAAACAATTGTTCTCCATCCTCTTTAAAATAACCCTTGTTGTATTTGAAGACTTAGCAAATCCACCCTCAGGCTCATCTTCTCCAAACTAAGGAATCAGTCTTCCACCCATTCCTCATACATCATGCTCTTCTGATATCTAATCGTTTTTGCCAATCTGCACTGGAGTCATTCACACCTCCTTCTTGAAGAGTAGCACCTAACACTGTGCTCCTAATGAGGCTTGTGCTGAGTAGAGTACAATAGAGCTGTTTAACTTCTGGATGGCCAGTGGTCCCCTAATGTCCCCACCACTGCACAGGCAGCCGGGCTCCATTCCCAGCTGTGTGGGCAGCAAGAGCAGCCCCGCTCTGCCACTTGCCGTCCCATATACATCGTGGGCAAATTTGCCCTTCTCACTGTGCAGACAGCCTGGATCTGCCCCTGCTGTGCCTGCCCCAGGAGTGGTGGCAGGAAACAGATGCTGGAGAGAGAGGTTGAAGATCCCAGCTACCACAGCAGCAGGAGTGATGGCAGGGAAGAGCAACAGCTAGGCAGGAGCCTGGGGGGCTGCATTTTAACCCTTGACTGCCAGTTGGGCACCACTGGAGAAGAAGCATCCCTTCTCATGACTGGCATACAATACTCCTGTTAATACAACCCTTTATGTTGGAAGGGATTTTTCACAATGATATTTACTCCCGACTCATATTCATCTTGCTACACAGTGTAATGCTCAGATCCTTTTTGCAGAAGCCTAGCCCCATTTTCTGTCTGTGCATTTTATTGTTCCTTCTGAAATGGAGCACTTCTTATTTGTCCTTACAGAAACATAAACCCATTTATCTCAGACCATTTTTCCATTTCATCAAGCTCATTTTGAAACCTAATCCTGTCCTCCAACGCATCTGCTACCCCACCCAATTTGGTGTCACTTGCAAATGTAGTAACCATACCCTCAAATCCATTCGCCAAGTCATTAGTGAAGATATTCATAGTGCTGGGCCCAAGACAGATGCCTGAATCCCACTTGATGCCTCCTCTCCAGATTCCTTTATCTAGTTAAAACCAGAACAGTCCAGTCCATCAGCTGAAAAATGCCCAGCCTTTATTTTTTTATTTTCTTAAATTAGCATCACAGGAAGCTGAGCCTGGCTCGTTTCAAGGTCTGAGAGGAGGTTTGCGCTTATTTGCTCATTTCTTGTCTGAGCATTCCAAGTTCATTTCCACGATTACCAATTTCCCAGTTAGAGTTCAATGAAAACTGTTGATTCCTAATTCTATTCCCCATAAACGACAGAGACAAATGGTCACATTACCTCAAGAGTTCCTTTGGCAGAATAAGCAGCATATGAATACAGGAGGTCTTGGCTGCGAGGGTTTTTGGTGTCTGTGTTACACTGCACTCCGCTAGGATAAAAGCATTCACCACTTTTTTTCAGAGTCACTGTATTTGAAGAAGAGCCCGGTACATCAAGCAAGACAGAGTAATTTACTAGCTGAACATCTTCGAGGCCACGAGAAGTCCAGTGAACCAGAAGTTGCATTGCAATGTCTGTATCTTCTTTTCTAGGCAACTGTGTCAAATCTCTGGGGGGGGTGGAAAAAAACAATACATTATTTTCCTCCCTCAATATCTGTTTACCAGGACTAGATAAAACAGTTCACAATTTCAATAATGAGAGGCATGGAGTCCATGAGAGACACCATGTAGTACACTATAGCACCTTTTATCTTTGCAAGTATTTCCTTAGCAGTGATCAGAAATACATCTCTCTCTCTGTACATCTATATATAGCTTTATGGGAAAGGATAATTTTGCTCTCTAGGAATGAAGTATCCTATTAGAAACCTAAAGGATACCACAGAAATAATTGATAGTATGTTATTATATTAAAAAGTATTTACAATTTACATGAAAAATGTCCATTTTCATGCTGAAGTTTTTACTCAGCGAATTTCTGAATGGTTGTTTTTTTTATCGGTAGATCAGGGTACAGAGTTATTTTTAGTGAAAATATACACCTATTCACCTCAAACCTGATTAAGCTTGTATGATGGGACTTCATTTAGGGGTTAAAAGTGTTTTTAAAAGTATTAAATAAAATACACAAAACTTCAGGAATTGGGTACATTTTACAGACAGGAAATCAAGTCATAGAGCAGGTCAGTAATGAGTGCATTATCACCAGCAGTTACACTGACAGAGCTCGCTGTGGAATTTAGTAGTGAAATGTTAGCCCCATTGAAGTCGATGACAAAGCTCCTTTTAACTTTAGTGGAGCGACACTTTTAAATCATTAAACTAAGCCTAATTTTAAATATGATAAAGTAAAATAAAAATAAATTCCAACAGTCTAGACAAATGTACAGGTAAGTCCCATATTATTATTTAGTAAAAAATCTGAAATAAAATTATAAAATTATTCAGCAGCTCATTTTAGGGAAAAGAAATCTACTAATTTTGTATTAAACCTATCTGAAGTTTTCTTTCTTGTAATCCTATCGAATTCCAGCCCTCCAAAAGAAACAGTTAAGTCAAATTTTAATATGCAAAAAAGAAAGGGCTTTTGGGGTACGTTTGTTCAGCAAACTCTATTTTCTGCCCCAATTTATTTTCAGTCACATCTACTAATTATTATTCATCATCCAATAGTGCTAAGCAAAAGTAGCACAAAGAAGGCCATGGTCTCAGCCCTCAGGCACTTTCAATTTACTTGAAACACAGTACAGTTCTCAGTGTATTCCACTGTAAAGAAGTAAGCAGAATGCACTTTGAAGAAACTCAAAGCTCAGTGATAACTCAACAGGTTGGGAGTAGCCAGATTCTTTAAAATGGATTTATAACAGAGAAAAAGCAAACCTTAATATTCTCTAGATACCACTAGCATGTTCCCTTCTCCCCCAAAGTTTCTGGTTTTAAAAATACTTTGTAAAACATCAAAGCAACAATTTTTCTTGTGATACTGCATCATCACATTAAAATCTGTTTAACATAGAAGTATTCATGTAAAGTAATTTTGCAAAGGGGCAACTGTGGGGGGAAGGAAGAGAGCGCTGGAAAATTTGTTAGGATGATATATTTGACCTAAATTCAGCAAGCAAAGCACCTGCAAAGCAGGAAAGAACTATGCCACCAAAACATCCTAATATATTATTTGCATGAAAGTTTTCCGCGGCCTTCATACCTACAATGGAGAGATGCCTGTGCCAATATCCTGGCAGGCAGCATAACAAAGTATCATGCAGAAAACCTGAGTCTAGAAGCGATTTTGGCAATATTGCTCCATAGGCCAGCAGAGACCATGAACGGGTTGTTTTTGGCTTCCATGGGCAAAATACAGTTCCTATCACTGCTAAACACCTGCTACTGGATGGTTTACAGACTGCCAATGACAAGACACCTAAAGGAAACAATGAATTTAGTTTTACCAGCTCCAGAGCCAATGGCAAAGAAACATACTTGCAGAAAGCATGCTAAGGATGGAAAGGAAATCCTGAAAGGAAACTACTAAGTCTTTGTTTTGATGCGTAAAAGGCTTGCTATACAAAAAATGAGTAAATGATTCTAGCATAACTGAGTGGCAGTGAGGGGGACACCTGCTCCAATCCCCAACTTTGGGAGCAGGGCACAAATATAGCAGCCATCATGCTGCAAGCCTAGCCATCGCTATCAGGGGCAACCTGTCTGAAACTACTGTCCCATACACTGCTGCCACCCAGTGTGCAGAACTGCCCAGTTATGCCTCTGGCTACAGACTTAAAGAAATCTTATACTGAACTCAGGCCTCATGCAGACATTCAGTTTCTCCTGGAACAGCCATTGGTCTCCCACAAGAAACCATGACTGTACAGGATTTTTCTCCTAGAGTAAAAATGGCAACTACAGGAGAAAAATAACCTGGGAATAACCAGAGTTAAATTACTCCTCGAAGAGTTTCTCCTGGGACAGCAAATGTCTGTATATGTTGTGGCTTCTCCCAGAGGAGAGCATAGTCCTCCCAGCATCCCCCCTGAGAGAGATGGTATCACTTGCTGGACTCTGCTGCTCCAGCAGAGAGCAGAACATACCACCTTCATGATCGCCACATTGTGCAGCAGGGAAACACAATGAACATAGATTGTCTGGGTCAGCCAATCAGGGCAGCCCTATGCAGTGCTGCTATCTGTTTCCAGGCACATCTGTTGCATGCACAAGGTCTCCCCTGCAGCTGCCCAGTGTCATCACTATAAGCTCTCCACTCCTTTAGGCCTCAACATTCAAATGTCTGTACACACAGCTCTGGATAAGTTCCCCAGATTACTTGAATATGTGTACACAGCTGCTATCATTACTTCAGCTGCATTTTGTATGTAAAAACATAATTAAAAGGACTGAGACTGAGAGATAGAACCCCAATGACATATTAGCATCCAAACAACCACATAATTGAGAGCTCTGCTTACAGATACCTGGAACAGCTTGTTACACACTAGATTTAGTATGTTCAAAGGCCAAATTCTTAAAGGTATTTATTTTTCTAACATCCCCTAGTGATTTTTTAAAAAGCATCTATACAATTACTTCTTAAATCAATAGCTGAACAATGGATAGCTGTTGAAAACAATGACTAAAATCAACAACCTTTTGAAAACTTTACTCAACAGCTATCCACAGTTTTAGGAACCTCAATCCCATTTTAAAAAGTGGTCTAACTGTCCATGGAAAACATTGATTTCGATAGGTTTGGATTGGGACCAAGGGGAGAGTCAGAAAGGGAAATGTGTCAGTAATAGGGTGGCCATCATAGAAGACAGTCTGGTTGTCCTCTGCCAAAAGAAAAAGAGAGGACATAAAGGTGTCAGGTTTTGTATCAATAGAGGACAGAGTAGCAGAAAACCGGAATGTCCTCTATGATGGCCACCCTCGTCAGTAACCTAGCACTTACACATCTATTACCAATACCAATTTATAGCTTAATAGTCCATTAATTAAGTAACATTGACTACACACATATTAGCACAAACTTAAAATAAATAGAAACCTAATATCACATTACAATAGTGATGAACTATCCACTGTCAAAGATAGTACATCATAGCTGAACAAAAGAGTTTAATAGTAGCACCACAATGGGACATAAGTTATAGCATTTAGAGCTTAATAAATAAAAGTCTACTAAAATAAATTATATAAAATACATATTAGAATCAAATCTGCTACACTGCCAGTTACTAGTATTTAAAGTTCTAATATTCTTACAAGAGCACTGGGCTTATGTTAAAGACTTCAGAGATCTTGTCAGGAGGAATAATTATCAAAGGTCACTCTTCAGATTTAATCTTCCTAATTTATCTAAAATGAGTCTTCAAGCAAGCTACACAAAATGGACAAGTTAATCCAATCAGTAGTATATTACAAGTCCCCAATTTCATCGGCTGAGCCTTCTAATGCAATGACATGTACTTGGACAGTGTAGAAACATACAAAGTTGTTTGATTAACACAGTCAGTACCCAAAGATCCACATTTCCCACAGGTGCTAGCAACAATAATAGAATAAATAACCGAAAGCCACCCAAATCATGCAAATTAGATTGTGGCATACTTCAACAAGTAGGCTGCTTCAATAAAAGTTTGATAGAAAAAAAGACTCAATTCAAATTGTTCACTTAATAATAGAACTAAAGACGGTTTCCACTCCATAATTAAATCAGCATTCCTTTGAAACTTTCGTGACAATATATGTGATTAAATTAAAGAAATGAAAATACTCACTATTTATTTTGTAATTTCCTTACAGCACATCAAAAATCAAATTACATATTATAGCACAAATTGTATTGAAACAACTGAGCAAATATGAGGTTCCTTTCATAAGGTTTGTACAGAATGCAATGTAGCAACATTGGTGGAAGAAAGAAATACTGAACCAAATTACTCTCTAGTAAAAGTCTATAAAGCCAGTGTATTTACATCAGAAATAAATTTGTTCCATTAAATTTATGACATACTGCCTCAAAGGCAGAAACAACAGTATTTTTAACAACATTCCAAATTCTAAAACCCAGAAAGTACTTGAAGATTGTTCCTTATCAGTTAACGAGCAAACCAGCTTCATACCTCATATCAAATTACCTTCGATACTGTTACTAAGGTAAGCCCATTTCCTTTTTTTTCCTCTTTTGAATATTGATAGAATATTAAAACTGGCAATAAGATAAGACACATGAGCTATAAGAAGGAACATGTCTTCTGGATCATTATGAGACTGCCTGAGATACTAATAACCATACTTGGTATTAGGCAATACTTCATTCAACAAATTGCTCCACTGAAATTACTGAGAATACCTGTGAAGCAAGTGACCAGATCTTCAGTAGCTGTAAATCTACATAACTTTGTGGAAGATAAAAGAGCCACAAGAAATTTATGACTTAGCCTGATGCACTTACAGGGATTAGAATCTGACCCAAGTATATTTAATGAATAAATACAACAATCAAAATAATGCAACATCTTTCCTCCAGGGATCTCAAGGAGCTGTTCCAAGATTAATTAAGCTTTAAAACACTGACATAGATGGATCTTGGATACCCTATGCAGACTCA